TGGAATCTGTTAGGCGAAATTCTCTTACTTTATAAAGCGCTAAAGTTTAAGCTACATCTCCGAATTCTGATTTCTAATCATGCTCGATATACAAGTTGGCCAATTGTTTGATCCACTTCGTTGGTGCCACTTATGCAAATTTAGTTTCTACACACCGCACGTTATGGCCCAAGAACTTGAAGATTTTCCGCTCTACAGCTGATGAAGTCTTCTTTTTGTTGGATTTTGAGTGCCTATTTAAAACAAATTTAGCTTCTGAAGAATGAAATATTTTTTCAGCAACAGTTCTCAACTGGGCCATTCATCAACAGGTATTCACTTGGAGCGCGGCCAGTCTCCGCGGTACAATCCACTGCGTGGTGGGCCTGAGTCCTGGCTGCCTTTGCCAGTCGTCGGCCAAGCATCCCAGTCTTCTCTGCCACGCAGCGCCCAAGTAACTTGGCTTCCTGTGCTACCGCATGAAAAGATACGTGAAAATATGAAGTACCCGGTGAAATGTGCATTATGTAAAAAGTGTTACGAACGAGGCTACATGGCCCTTCACGAGCGTGTTCATACCGGCGAGCAGCCTTTCCAATGTCCAATCTGCTCTAGACGTTTCTCAGTGAAGAGTAACATGAAGGTGCATGTGGCGGAAGTGCATGCGATCAGGGACCCAAGCGTGTTGGAAGTTCTGATTGAGTTAGCCGCTATGGGGCCTAAGCATCCATAAATCCAGTGAATTATCTAGCACCTTTCGTTGAAATTACCTTTATTTTTCGAAGAGACTGAAGACATGTCTAGAGTCAAAACTCCTTTCGTATTTGCTTTTTAGTAAGGGCGAAAACACCCTGGGCAATAACAACCATTTGCTGGCACGCCATTTAAAGGTGTTGTTGCTGCTTTCTTTTTCTGAGAATTTATGATAAATTTTTGCTTTACACTGGAGGTTATGGTAATTTAGTAAAATCAGCGTTTTCCAATAACTTTTTTGCGATTTTTGTAAACATGTTTTCTCATTAACAAAGCAACTCTTCGCAGTCTCCTTCGTCACCTTTTCAGTTTGGTTAAAAAAATAAAGCAGAACGAGTAATTTTCGAAATACTTTTACTTTTTTCAGTTGCAATTCGCACTATCATTCTCAAACAAAGGAGCTGGCAAAATTTCTGACCAGTTTGATCAATGTTACAATGCATCTGAGCAGTATTTTTCAAAACGCACCTCTTGAAAAAATAGCTTGCAACACATTCTGCCGCAAAATCAGAAGTCAAAACCACCGCTGTAATCGTGTTTGCTGTTCATGCTGCTCATAGTCATGAATGATCCCGGCTCTTCGCCTATTGTCAAGGCATGAAATGCCTTTTAAATAGAATTCTGCAGAAATGATGGTGAAACAAGAAAAAACAATGTAAATGTGAATAATCCGATATCAAATTCAAATAGCTACAGACGGTACACTACTGTATTTTAGCAGCGAATTTTAGTTGAAGTTATGCAAAACTAAGTAGAATGAGGTAGCATCGGCATCCAGAGGAAAAGCTGACGGCAATAGGCTTTATTCCATGATACATCGATAGAGCGCTATAACAAATCACTGCACCGTTCCATTCGTTTAAAAGCAGTGCTGAAATAGGAGACTTTTCAGGGAGTGAAAGTGGTTTTTCCCAAAATTTTGCTGACGTAACGTATCTGAAAAGAGTGTTCTTTACCACGTGGGTGCCTCAGAAACATCATTAATGCAGGATACTTACAATGACTGTCTGGACAACCTTGACAGCTTCGGTGATTAAGGCTTTAAAATTTCTCTGTTACGTAAAACGGCTCGATTGAGTGGTACTAATTAGAGTTACGAAGCTTAAAATGAAGAGGCTCGGAACTGCTGCACGCAGCTTGTGAGAGCAGACCGCTAACAACACACTAAACCGGAATATCCCCACTGATTGCCCGGGCAGTCTTAGTGTTGTAAATAGCCTAATGGATGTGTACTGGAAATTTCTCAGGGACTATTCGGGACTTTTCTGTTACTTTTCATTCTTGAAGTTTAAAATTAAATACGTTTTACCTACGATTAAATTTATTACAAACGAATACTGAGGTTTTTGCCGGTGCTACACGCATTTCCTGCGTGCAGTTGCAGCGACATTCCGAAATCAGTCCTAAATTCTGCTGGCGAAAACGAAAGTGGCGCTGCAAGACTTCAAAATAAAAGCAACAACCATTCTGTTCACGGTCTGACCGCGTCAAGTTTAACGCAAAAACGCTTGATGGTACGAGCAAGCCTAGTGCGTTGTTATCTGGGTTTTCTTAAAAGGTGTCCCACGAGCTCAAGTGACTATCTAAGTCAGGCCCGCGTGTCGCCAAGGGTTGCCCGTGCCTGATGTAAAGAAACAACCATTCGTACAGTTAACGAAATGACTGCTTCTAGTCCAGTGCAAAAACGCATGATCACACCGGCAAGCGTATTGCGTCCCAGTCTAGGTTCTTTATGCTAAATCTGTAATGATTTGTGCTAATGATATGCACAAATTTACGCTGATTTATACTAAGCTGAATGTAAAGGTTGTTTTACTATTCAGTCAATTGACGGCCTGGTTGCTTCAAGCTTCCAGCAAAACAAGTGATCGCACCAGCTTCCCTGGTGCGCGCCGCGATTTATTTTCATATTTTAATGCCACCGCTTAATTTACTCTACATGCATCCGAAATGCCTTTATTACGAAGTGCTGTTGGACATTTCGAGGCTTTGCATTCACGTGTACATACATACAAATGCCTAGCAGATGACATGTGTACATACACAGGCATGTATATAGTGGAGTAATATATGTGCGTATACATGTGTTTATCTTTCCGTATCTATCCAATAACTAGTTTACAGCCTAAATCAGAAAGTCTTAAGCGAAATGGAAGACTTGCATTTTATAATCTGATGTGCAAGTTACTCGAGATGAGTAGGTCTTCCGGGGAAAGTAAGAAGTGGCTGGGGATGATGACGCAGTAAACATACATGAGGGGAAAAGGAAGGATAATTCGAGGCAAAGAAATCTGCAAAATTTACTTTTTTCCTTCCGTACTAGTTGCCTGAAAGGAAAAAGCATTACACCGTATTCCCTCTTTTTGCTGACAAAGATACCACGATCCCTCAAGTTATTTCTCCTTCAGCTTCATTCAGACAAAACACTACGCGCTTCCTGTCCCACGTTTTTTCCCACGTTTTTGTACTTCATGCATCCAAAAATGTTTTATTGTGAGGTAATTTTGCATACATGTAGTGCTTCAGTCTGGAAAACATTTACGATGGCATTCCCATCAGGTGGTGCAGTACACTTCAGAACTGCCAATAGAATGACCACCAGGCGATTCAGCGTTGGAGAAGACAGCTGAAAAGTTGTCAGCTGCATGGTTGCAGAACGATGCTACGAACTGCATTTGAACAAAGTATACATATTATTAAGCCTAATGAACTACTAGAAAAAAAGAAGCTGTTAATCTTGCAGTTGTTTTATAACCCATACCTGTCTTAATCTGTGTGTTCAAATCTGAATTTGAGCATATTCCCTTACCCAATAAAAGCAGCAGACTCAAAATTTCGATCACTCACCACCCAATAAGAAATTAGGGAAATTCATCAGTTTCATGATAAAACCAGTAAGAGGTCTTGGGACCCCAAGATCTTCGTTTTCTGCGCAATGTATTGTAAATAGCCTAAAAAGAATTCTGATAACCTCACTGCTTGCGCAGAAAACTGTGACCGACATAACCAAAACTAAGGTAAGATTATGGCTTCAAGAGGGAAGACTGCAGAAATTCGAAATTTTCTTAATTTTCATTCGCTGATTAAATCAAAGACCATCGTAACGAGTTTTGTGAT